CCTCTGAATTGATATGGAGATAAGGATAGGTTGGGGAGAGGCAGGCACAGCTGGGTGGCTGCAGGTTCTCCCCAGGGCTGCCCTGCCTGGTGCCATCTCCTGCTCAGCCCCAGCCTCACGGCACTTAAAAAAAAAAAAAAAAAAAGAGAGAAAAAACCGCGCTCACCAGCAGTAGCAGTGGATGGGGGGGCTCTTGGGCCATGTGGCAGAACCCCCCCGCACAGCCCCTGCTCCCCGATCTCACCCCCCCATCCAGTCCTGCCCACAATGGCTGCCCTGCCTGGCCCCAGTATCCCGACTATTAAAGAAAAAAAAAAGCCCCACACTCACTGGCTGCAGCAGTGGGGATCAGGCCTTCTGAGCACTCATGGCAGAGTCCCCTGCGCATCACGGGGCAGTGGGGGGTAGTAGGAATCACCCCTCCACCTGGCACCTGCATGGCAGCTGCCCCATGGTGTGCATGCGGCATGGCTCAGCAGGGCACCACACACTGTCTGGGGGGAGCTGGGTGGCTCCACATGTCAGCTGGAGCCCAGCACCACTCAGCCCCAGTGGCCCCAGCTCCCAGACAGTGTGTAGTGCCCTGCTGAGCTGTGTTGCACCTGCACCAGAGGGCAGCTGCTGTGTGGGTGCCAGATGGTGGGGGGGCGATCCATGCTGTTCCCCACTGCCCCATGCTGCGTGGGGGGCTCTTTCATGAGCTTCCAGAGGTCCTGATCACCGCTGCCAGAGCCAGTGAGTGTGGGGCTTTTTAAAAAACAATTGTCAGGATGCTAGGGCCGGGCGGGGCTGGGCAGGGGAAGAGATCAGGGAGCGGGGGCTGTGCAAGGAGTCTCTGCCACACAGCCCCAGAGCTCATGCTGCCACTGCTACTGCCGATGAGTGCGGTTTTTTTTTGTTTGCTTGTTTGCTTTCATTCCTGGACTGCTGGGGCCAGGTGGCGGGGCCAATCGGGGCAAGGCTGGGTGAGGGGGTATGATCTGGGAGTGGGGGCTGCGTGGGGAGGGGCTCTGGCAGGAGACCCCAGAGCCCCTGCTGCTGCCAGTGAGTGCGGGGCTTTTTTTAAGTGCTGGGAGGCTAGGGCCTGGTGGGGAATTGGACCGGGCAGGGCAGCCATTAGGGCTTTTCCCATGGGTTTCCCCACATGGGGAGAGGCAGGCACAGCCGGTAGAACTGTGGGAGAACCTGCAGCCACCTAACTGTGCCTGCCTGTCCCTGGCTGTTCCAAATCTCTGAATCAGCACCGAATCATTGTTGAATCTCTGATTCTGATTCAGCTGACTCAAATGGGGACAGTGATTCGAATCACCAAATCAAATCACTGTCCTCTGAATAGGCCAAATCCGAATCAAATACTTCCCTATCTGCAGAGGCCCAGTGGATACCACTATTGAATCCATCCCCTGACATCCTGGAAAGGGACCCCTTACCAGCCCAATCAATCTTAGAAGACATCTGGTGTACAATCAAGGAAACCAAAAACAACAAGGCCACTAAGTTGGATGGCATACCTGCTGACATCTATAAAGCTGATGGCAAGAAACTGGTCCTGAGACTGCACAAATTTATTCCATGCATTTGAAACAAAGAGATTCCTGGGGATCTGAGGAATGCCACCATCATGACTATCTTCAAGAAAGGAGATAAATCAGTGTGTGGAAACTACTGAACCATCTTCTACCTCCTGCTGAGGAAGTCCTGTTGGAATCACAATGTAGAAAGTACCAGCCAGACTTGGGTGTCCAGAAAAGGACATCAAGGTCTTGAGGTTTCTCCACAACCAGATGACTGTGATTGTTTTATGTAGTGGCTGAGAGACAGATCCATTTGTCATCTGAACTGGGGTCAAGCAGCTCTGGGACTCAAGTTCCGGCTTGACCCTGAACTGGGGTAAAGCCCCAACTCTGCTCTCCATTTTTCTGACTGTCACCTTGGTTCTCATTAAGGACCACCTTCCTTCTGGAATGGACACTGAATACTGAATGAATGGAGGGCTCTGCAACAGGGACATTTTTAGTCAAAGATCAAGGCATGCAAAACAACCATCCTTGACCTTCAATAAGCCAATGACTGCACCATCCTTGCTCACACTGAGGAAAGCCTCCAGACTGTACTGGGTGTTTTCAGAGAAGCCTACTCAACTCTGAGCCTCTCTCTCAACATCCAGAAGACTAAAGTATTCTATCAGCCTGCCTCAGGCCACAAATGTGACCCCTACTCCCCAAATTACTATTGAGGGAAAGATTTTGGAGGCAAGTCAAGCACTTCCCCTACCTCAGTAGCCACCTCTCTCAGAGAGCAAACATTAATAAAGAGATCCAGCACAGGATCCACTGTGCACCTGCTTGTTTTGGGAGTCAGTGATCTTCAAGCACCAACTTCAGTGGACCGGACATTGTGTGTGGATGCCTCATTCTTGACTCCCAAAACAAGTGCTCTACTTCCAGGTTAGTAATGGCCTGAAATCTCATGGTGGCCAGCAGAAATCCTACAAGGACACATTGAAGGCATACCTCAAGAAAGCAGATGCCAATGTTAAGACAAGGGAGGAGTAGGCTTCTGACCAGCTCCAATGGAGCTGCAACCTCAACCAAGTGGCTGCCCATTTTGAGGTAAAGCACCTTGCCCTTGAAGGAGGGAAGAGAGAGTGGAGGAAGGGAAAGGTGAGAAATCCTGGCCTAAGGACTACCTTCCCCTGTGGAAAGACCTGCAACTTCTGTGGATGGGTCTGTGGTTCAAGGATTGGACTCTTAAGTCACTTCAAGACCCATCACTGAGCTGTGGGAGAGATTGTCCTTAAACTGCCAATGATGATGACATCAGCTCTGCTCACAGATTCTGTGTGTCCCAGAAGAGAACTCTAGGACACACATTCATTTTTAAACATTAACCAAATAAAAATTAAAGACACTGAAATACAGTCTCTGTATAACAGTGCAACTTACTTTGAGCAAAAGCCTCCTGCACATCTCCTCCTACTCCTGTCAGAGAATCCTGAGGTGTATGGGTTGGGGTGGAGCAGGCAGATGCAGACCTGATAGGCATAGGAATTGGTCGGCTGATAGTGTGACTGGGTGAAGAACGAGGTGAGCCTGCTCCTTGAGTCTAGAAAATAAGAATAAGTGGTTAAGAAGGTTTCTGCAATGAGAAAACATTTGCTTCTGACATCTATGTCCATTCCTCATTCAACTGGGTTAAACCTCATCTGGTCCCATGCAGTTTGCAGAACAGCAAGGTAATATTACATCTCCTGAGGGAAACTTGTTCACACAACTACTTAGCTAGGAAACATCCAGGCATTTCTCAGTAAAGATATAGTACACAGAAAGAGGTTGAGGAGGTCAGGACCTTGTCCTGAAGCTGGGTGAGATAAGTAAATTTAAAGGAAACAAGATTTAAGGACCAAAAATATTATGTCTGGGGCTTTTTCTGACCCCCAACCCTGTAAGAATATTGGCAATCCTCACATGAATGCTTGACAAGACAGCTCCTCCAGGCTGCAAGAAGTAAAAAGAAGTTGGTAGTAAGGAAACTGAGTCTGAGAAAGGAACTGAAGCTTTTCCTGGAGTGAAATATTTCCATGCTTGCTTTCATGTTTGGGCATTTTAAAGTCCTGTGCTTTTATCCTCTGACCTCTGTCTAGTAACACCCCACCCTCCCTTTCAAGCCTCATTCATGCAAGAAAGCTTTGTAATGTACATGCAACCTATTAGTGAAATAAAAGCTTATATTCCCAACAAATATTATACATTTGTATTTTTACTTTTTGGCTCCAGAGTAAGTTAAGCTACTATTAAATCATACACTATCACATTGTTCACACTGCAGGATAGGCTCAGGCACTCCCAATGCGTTGTTCAGATAGGCCATTTAAATTCCTGTTATGGGATCACCTGCTGGAAGTTAAAAAGTTTTAACACTAGTCATATACAATGTCATGCTGTTAGTACCTTACAGTTAGTATCACTTAACTGAAATTCAAGCATACTTTATAAAAAACCTCACAGTACTTTTAAAAAATGGATCTGGATGAATGAGGCTGAGGACACAAAGAATTAATGCACTCTTCCTTCAATGCACTGAAATCCCTGAGGATATATGTCAAAAGAAAACAGAAACCAAACCAAACCACAGGCTATTTAGAATGATTTGGGAATTTGTATTTAGCTGCTACCTGTGACAGCCCTGTGAGGACTCTTAAAACAGCAACTAGTGCACATGTGCTAGCTTGTTTACAGTAAAGATGGATTCCTTAACTTTTCAGTGCCACTTCTCTTGACTGCTCTAGCGACTCAAAGAGAAGGAATTGATACCCACACACAAAAACAGGCAACAACAGTGCTTTATCAGATTGGTTTAGTTTACTTTCTCAAGATCTATATCTATTTATTCTTCCTCTGAATTTCTGTCCCTGACTGTGCCTATCTACTATATGTCTTTGCTGATAAGAAGAAAAGCAGTTATTACCAGTTAACTGCAACTGATAGAGCAGATTTTGGTTGGGAATAGGGGGTGGGTTGTTTTGTTTTTTGAGGGCCCTCTTATTAGAAGGACCTGACTGGCAGGACTCTGTAAGTGTAAGTTACCTTTACACGCGAGAGAAACACTTCTAACTAGAGAATGACTAGCTTAAATTTTAACAATTTGTTTTTGAAAATGTTTTAGGATATTTAAATGACAGTGAAGGAAATGCTGAATACATAGGACCAGATGCTCTCCTGTTTTTTGGCTCTTTTATATCCTTCTAGCAGTGCAAAGGACTCAACGTAGCTGGATCTGGCCAGCTGAAACTTCTGCCAAGCAATATTTTGGCAAAACCGATGTTCTGGAGACTGTTACCAGCTGGCAGTGTTTCAAACTCTGATGTTGTTGTAAGGTCTATAGAGGCCATTCTAGGATAGAACAGGCAGGATGCTGCAGAGCTGCAAATGCCTCCCTGATGACTACTCCTCCACTAAACAGATTTTGGCAGAGGAGACCATGATGCCCACAGTTCCCTGCTGTATTTATTTTTTTCCTGTTTCCTTTTACCACTGACTGAGATGATAATGAAAAACAGAAAGACAGCAAGAACTATATGGAAAGGTGAGGAAATGTCTGTATATGCAAATATTGTCCAATAAATCAGACTTCTAGGAACTATCAAATTCTATGACTGTCATGTGGCTTGTCCTGCAACAGATGTTCCTAGGCATTTCTTCTCTGAACATACTACAGTGACTATAGTGATTAAATGTGTTTGGGAAATAATGCACTGTTAACGCTAACTTTCATTTTCTGAACAAGATATTTAGAAGGGCATGCAAACTTAGCCATTTGCTTTTTTCTGTGCATTATGCAGATAAAATTTTTGTTTTTTTCATTTTTTTCCAATCTTACCCATATAATACAATCAAAAGAAAGTTGAAATGGGATGCGATTTGGGGACTGGATGGCTTAAGAGTCCCCAACTCTTTTTTGATATATGTATTTTATTTTGCTAGATCAATTTCAGCCCAGGTCTCTGGCAACAGAATGTTGTTACCACTGGACAGTTATTTATATTTAGAGGCCAGTAACACTCATAGGAAATGAGCTTAATGATTTGAGTACAAAGTGGTTTTATATATCCTAGGAGAAAACTGCTGTGTCCCAAGCCTATTACTTGCTTATCGGTAGTCTCAACAGAGGGACCCAGGACTAATCCACTCTCAGCTCTGGTTAGCCCAACCAGATCAGGATGCACGCATGCTAACTGCAGCTGAGGGAACCTGCCACAACCACTGCTGGGACATAGCAGGCTTCAGCTTTCAGTTGTTAACTGACTGCAGCTGTCAGTGTCCAGCTGCTTTTTATGAGAAATTCATCAGCTCCATTTAACTCACTGCACTTACATCAAAGTTGTAAGCATTTTAAATTATCCCTCATTAAACTGGGACAGGATTTACATTAGCTAGTGCATAAGTATAATACACTTGAAGACTGGTTATACTGGATCTTTAGTACATTGCTCCCTCTACTGGAGTTGAAACTAGCTCACATCTCCGGAAAGCCAGCCCTGGATTTTAATGTTGTCATGTTATTATACTACAGCTAGAAAAACAGTACATATGTGATGACCGTGTTACTCTTCTGAGAGAACAAATTCTTATGGATGTAAAGAAATTGAAACTACATAAGCATTAGAAATTTCCCCTGGAGATGAAAATAGCCTTATGCCCCCGAAAGAACCACAAACAAGCATATTTGAGGGATTAGTGGGGAACATTTCATGGAAATTTAGAGGCAGGTAGAAATAATTAATTTTTACTGTGAGCACCTGCCATTCTCAAAGTTGATTTTGTATTAAAAGGCCCTAAATATTACAGTTGTACAATATCCTGTTTTTACTCCAGGTAGCAAAGAGACTATTCTATATGATCTTTTTTTAAAAGAAAACTATTAATGTTATTAGACAGAGAAAAGAAGAAAAAAAGACTCACTCAGAGGTGATATTTAGCAGGTCTTACCCTCTGGAATATAACCATGACTTGTTTTGCTGGAACAGATTCATGCTCCATCTCAGAACTGTTAGTAACAAACTGAAATGGTGCCTAGGGAGCATTACCAGTCATGGGAAAATTGTTGATTCTACTGAGCATTGACTTCCTTTTGTGAAACTAGGGACCAATGTGGTCTTTGTTACATTAAGATACTCCTTACTCCTCTCACTTTTTATATTAGGTCTAATAATCTTCACAGGATCCGTTTAATGCTAAAGAGCTACAAACTAGTTAAATCTTCCAAAAACTCAACACTATTAATATAAACTCTTGCATTACTTTTGAAAATAAAATGACTGTCCTTCAGGATCACTGGAAAGCTGCTGCTAATACTATTTTTAGAACATGTGAAAAACAAGATCCTGACCGTCTATGGCCAGGAAAAGTCCTTTGAGCCCTTTTTGAACAAGTGGGGATTTCAAGACCACTCCCCTAAGCTAAATCCAACTCAGATAATTTTCTTCTATTCCCTGAAATGATACCTGCAGTCTTAAAAGGCTATAAGGGGTTGTGGAGTTTTTCACTCTCTAGTCAAGGTGGTCGTATGCTGTGGACTGCTAAACAGCTATTGCTTTTCACGCCTAAAATTACCTCACTTAAAACAGCAAGAAAAAAAATTCTTCTAGCCACTATTCCCTCCTAAGGGTGTTGTGAAGTTTAACTGTATAAATTGATTTGAAATCCTCATATAAGATGTATGAAACAAATGCAACATATTATTCTCAGTCCAAGACATAAGCACACCTTTTAAGCAGAAGCAAAATGATAAATCACAGGTTCTCAATCCCATTTAAGAGTTAGTGAGACCTATAACAAGACAAATAACTTACTCCCTGTTTCAATTCTTCTTCCTAAAGAAAAAAAAATGGACCACCAGAGTTAGATTAGCAAGGAGTTCAGTGCCGAAGGGAAAAAATCATGAAAACTCACGGTAAAAGGTTAGGTCTAAATCAGGGCTGTTCAACTTCTAAGTGGCTGAGGCCACACCAGTGGGTTCACTGGACCCTCAAAGCTTCACAACCCGGCTGCACCATGTGTCTAGGTGCCCTGCCTCACACTAAGCTCCCTGACTGTGGACTTCTCTCTGCTGCATCACGCCTCTCAGGTGCCGCAGGCTGCAGGCTCCTCCAGCACTGTAGGCTGCATTGCACTGCACCACCCCAGTCCCTGGGACAGGGAAGGGGAAGCCAGAAGGGGAGGGAGCCTAGGGATCCCAGCCCCCAGGCTCTCACTCAGCTGCTGCTGCCCACCCCTTTCCTCCCCACCCTCCAGCTGCAGAAGCAATGGAGGGAGCAGGGGAGCAGCAGCTGGATGGGAGCCTGAGGGCCTCAATTTAACCCTTTACAGGTTGCATAGGGCCTGTAAACAACCAGCTGGACAGCCCTAGTCTAAACTGATATCACCTGAAGATACCAAACCAGAGCCTCTTCTGTGGTTGCTTTGAAATGCCACAGCAGTGTAAAGAGGCAAGGAAAGTACAGCTTTCTACCCAGAGATTCTGCAGGGGTCACCACGTTTCCTGGCCCCACTACAGCACCATTGGGAACAGCATGCCTGTGCACCTTGATTATCCCTGACTCTAAGGGCCTGGGGGCCACAAGTCCTGGGGCCAGGCTGTATGAGCTTGACTAGGTCTTGACTGGCTCCACTATTTAGAAGCCACCTCTATTCTGCTTCTCTGGTTCCATATCAGGCACAACTTTCTTACACAGAGAATGTAGCATATTAAACCCAGAAAGATACAAATTATGTAAGTTGCCAGACATGAGCATTGGCCTATTCACTTCAGTGGAATTATTTCTGCTTTTATCAGAGCCACATTTGACCTGTGGAGAATGCCCATATAGGCAACTCATTTGAACCTTCCAAAATAAAGCAGACTGCTAGTCAATTCATGTTTTTTTTTCCCAGTGTGAATTTTGCAGTCACTATTCTTTGGATCATCTGCAATGAAGCATTTCAGATACCATGGGGTCATACTCTCACTGGAATGGCTTATCATCTTTCCCATTTTCATTATAGACCTACTCCTTTGCATCTGCAGTACATGGAGGGATTTCTCATGCCTGCAGGCACAGCACTCTCCTGATTCAAGGCAAAACATGACCCTTGGGCCAAAACCTGGTCCTTTACAACCATATTACTGACACAAAAATAGACTGGACATCCATGCTGCAAGCCCGTTTTTCCATCCTTTCCTTTCCAGATAAGATTTTGTCAATACTGAAGAAGAAAATATACTTCTAATGCGTCCCTTACCTTTGTGCTCAAGTGATCTTTTCTCACCCTTTGGGGAAACTTTTTTTCTTTTTGGGAGGACCAATTTTCAATGGCACAGTTACTCTGAGGAGGCCACGAGTGCCACAGCATTGAATTTTTGACAATAGGGATCTTGTGTCAGAACATAATGGCCGAGGCTCCTTTTGCTGCTTAGGAAAGGTAAAGCAGCACTCTTTCCCATCTTGCCTTTCTCAAAAAAAGCATGCATATATTCTTTGAAATGAGACCCTTTGGGAAAGGGCTTAGATGTGTATTTTGGTGAATTTTACAAGGTGTTTTTCTCTTTTTTAGTGAAAGGACAAAGTACTATTAAGGCATCATACTCAAGGCCTACAGTCAAATGGTAAGTATCCTCTGATTGAATGAAGGATGAAAGGAGGAAAGTCAAAGAAGCAAGGAAAAATAGCAAAGCATCACCAGCCATGATGGGAGGGTGAGGACCATATATAATGGTAACAGAATTGCCACTGAGGGGTATATATCTGATTATGTTTATCATTTATTGCCTGCCTCTATATATTTGGCCTGTTCTGTAATCAACGTCTTCAGCGGAGTAAACTATAAATAAACCCCAGACTGAGCACACCTTGAAAAAAAATTATGGCTGGTCTATAGATCATTAATCCAAGACCCAGCAATACTGCCAGAGCTTCTCACAAGTTAGCTAGACAGGGCTAAACAACAGTGGGCCTTGTTTGAAAGGAATTTAATTATTTTTCAGCAGTGCTTAGTCAACTACTATTAAAGGTTGCCTAATTCATGTAGAAGTTGGTTAATTATGACACTGTAATATTAATACTGGAATACAGCATACGTTGTATGGTTTACTAATACTGAAAACCCATGAATTTGAGTGGGGAAAATAAGGATGGTACAGGGATAGGAAAAACTTTAGGGACGAAATATCCAACAAGAATAGAAATTTACTAATATGAAAATGTATTTTTTCTGTTTAGACAGACAAGATTCTTTGGGTAGATGTGATATCTTTTATTAAATCAACTGAGT